CTTCTGTGGTATATTGCACATTGTCTTTATTCATTCATTCATCAATTGATTGCACATCCTGGCTTTTGTGAATAGTATGTAATGAAACATGCAGTGCTAATGCCTCTTCAAGATCTTGATTTCAATTGTTTAGGATAGAGATGTGGTATTTCTGGATCATATGGTGTTCCACTTTTAATTTTAAAGGAGTCATCATATTATTTTCATAGTCACTGCACCATATTTTGGTCCCCTCAACTGTGTACAAGGGTTAAAACCTCATCTTTTTGTTCTTTTTTTTTTAACTAATGGTCATCCTGACAATGTGAGGTGACATCTTATTGTGATTCTGATTTGCATTTCCCTGATGACTACTGATTGAGCATCTTTTCAAGAGCTGTCTGGTCTTCTATGTATGTGTTTGTGTTTTGGAGAAAGAGCTCGTTAAGTCACAAGCCCATATTTTTAATCGAATCATTTGTTTCACTATTGTGTCATATATTAGTATATATAACTAGACCTGTTATTTTAAAAATGACTATTTTGTATAAGAGTTATATTTTTAAGTGTACATTCATGAACACCTCTTTATAGTTTAAGATTAAGTATTTTATCCACATGTTCTAATTTCTCTTTCTTAGATTGTCATTTAAAAGTAATTTGGGGGCCTCCCTGGTGGCCTAGGGGTTAAGTCTCAGCACTACCACTGCAGCGGCCTGAGTTCAATCCCTGGCCAAGGAGGTAACCCACATGGCACAGCAGACCTCTCCTGTCTCCCCTGCTGCTCCCCTCAGCAATGTATTTCAGTAGATCCACCTGTTCTGCTCCTCATTGTCTCTGGTGAATCCTCTCATCCCCCACCCCCACATCTCTGGTCTACACCGCAGCTCTTGTATGCATAAATAAATGAAATAAATCTTAAATAAAATGACATCAAAAAGTTCTGTGACTCTCACAGATGAGAGCTGGCCAGGGCAGGATGTGAAACCGTCCTGGTAGCCAGAGCAGGGAGCCTTAACATGTTAACGAGGACAATGGCATCCATGTCTTTGGGCCTTTGGATACATGCCTGGAATGACTTCACTTAATGAGAGTTCACTGGACTTTCTGAAACTTGCTCTTGGTGGGCATGTGGGAAGTTTCTGCATTTGGACTGAAAGCACTTTCCCAACGTAGCTGATCCACCTCTGTAGAAAGCAGCCTCCCTCAAGACCAACTGCAAGCTCCCCACACACATGGGGCTCAAGATCCATCTTAGCAGAAGGTTGAGAAGCCTAGAGATCTGTGGAGCCCTCTGAGAGCCCACAGAGATTCGTGGCATAGCCCCGAAGGAGAATCCACTGAAGCACGTGAGAATCAAGCTGAAGCTAAAACCACATGCAGAGACCACGCGGGACACCAGTCCCGACAGCCACGGTTGGGACTGCAGTGATAAGGCGGCAGCAGCCCCAGAAGCCAAATCAGAGGAGAAGGGGTTTGCAGGCAAGACGCCTGAGGTTGGGAAGAAAGGGAAGAAGGTCGTTGGTGTGACGAAACCAAAAAAGCCTTTGTTGGGAAGACAGGCTGCCAAGGCCAAGAAGCCAGCAGCTGAAGAGACGCCAGCAGAAAAGAACCCACCACGAAGAAAAGAAGTCTGCAGCATGAACTTAAATCTGCTTGTACTATATAGGACAGATCATCTTGGACAGCAATTTTGAATAAAGACCTGAATGGAGATTCAGCGAGGGAAAAAAAATAAGTAAATGAGGTGAAAGAAGTAATACAAAGGGAATAATAGAAGTAGAAATTCTTGATTGGAGTGTGGAAAACATAACACACACACATCTGGAATACACATTGTAAGGTGTAAGTTGTTAGGTAGAAATCCAACTTTGTTTTTTTTTTCCTCCCAGATGGTTACTCCTACTTTTCCTAAACCATTTGTTGGATAACCTCTCTTTTTTACACCGATGTGAAATAACAAACATTTTTTAAAGCAAACTTTCAAGCAAGTTATGTTTCAAATAATACCTTCTGCCTTCACCAATAAATAAGCTCTCTTATATCTTGAAAACCCCTCTTTTCTGGGTGCTCCCGCTGCATGTGGGTGACTGTTGTGACTGGGGGTCCTCTTGGATTATCCCTATGGTCACCTCCTCAGAGGGAGACACAGAAGCTATTTGAGTTTGCTGGTCTCAGAGCTCAGGCATGGTATTGCAGTGCAGTGAGGGTTGCTGTGATGTATTTTGGATTGGCTGGTCCACTCCATGAATTTCATCATCCAGAAATTAATCAGCATGTTCAGAGAGATGGCAAAAAGTCTGCATTCCCAATAGTGAATGTGGCAGGTGGTTTCAGATACCTGTCAAAATATTACATCACAATGACCATTGTCTAATTTCCTTCTGAAAGTACATGGACAGTATTCATTTCTCTGAGGTAATGGGAAATTTTCATGCATAAGGCAAGTGAGATCCAGTGTAGTGTGTTGACAAAAGAGAATGATGGGGAAATAGGAGACCCAGTTTCTTAGCCTTGACCTGATTCATGTAATAAGCAAGTTCAGGGGGACCAATTCAATTTATTTTCTGTCAATATTCTTCACCATCTATAGAAAGTTGTCAGATGATATAGTTTCTTGGCTTCCAGATAGATATAAGCTTATGATTGTATAATGATATAGCCCCTATTTTTTTAAGATTTATTTTATTTATTTATGCATATAAGAGCTGGGATGTAGACCAGAGGTGCAGAGGGTGGTGAGAGGATTCACCAGAGACAGAGTGGGGAGCAGAACAGACAGATTAACTGCAATACATTGCTGAGGGGAGCAGCGGGCCAGACAGGAGAGGTCTGCTGCACCATGTAGGTCAGGTCCCTGGCCAGGGATCTAACTCATGCTGCAGTGGCTGCCAATAGCTTGATAGTGCTGAGCCTTAACCCCTTGGGCCACCAGGGAAGTAAGTCTCCCCTCTATTTGTTAATTTAAAACATATTTATAGATAAATTGAGCCTTTGCTATATGCAATGACTTCTGGTCACCAAGCAATGAGATATGTTTATTGTACTAAAAATTTCTGAAAGTTTATTTGGACGTGGGAATGGAAATGAACAGATCAATGTGATTGGAACTTAGAATGTCCTAGTCTCCCCAATCTAAGTCAGAATGTAGGCTGTGTGATGTACCATGACTCTGTTCTAAGGCTTCTTCTAAAGATCTTGGTGAATGTGAGAGACACCTTCTGGGTTTGTGTGAGAATAACACACTGACTGTAACTTGTAGTTCATAAATTCTTTTCCTGGTAATGGCAGACTGTGGTATTATTTTGCAAGGCCCTTACTTAGGACTAACTCCTGGCAATATTTTGAAGTGTTCCAGTTAATAGCCTAGAAGCAATCTAAGCAGAAGAGATTTCCTGACCCCAGACTGATGTGACCACTCTTCCTCTATAACTAGTATAAAACTTTGCTCTTTCCTTTTGTTAGCATAAATTCCCCTTCCAATAATTTACAAATGCTATCTACAAAAGACATAAGATTAAAACATTTTGAATTAGTGACCTCAGATGTGTTTGACTAAGAGGAAGGAAGGTGGAGTAAGAACAATTTCAGGCCAAAAAAGTTCTTTTTACAAAAGTCAAGAAAAGAAAACAACCAATCTCCTGTTGGAGACAAGTAGGACAGAAGGGTTGGCTGGAACCATGAATATCAGAAAGGAATTAATGGAGTAACCTGGGAAATGGAGGCCCATGGAAGACTGCCAGCTGGAGAATGACAGGATAACAATAGAAATAAGGTACCATGAACTTGATGGGAGGGCGGAACTGGTTAGACTCTGAGAAGAGTTTTAAGGTCCCATGAATGGAGAGGAGGCAATGATGAAAACTAATTTATGAACATCTGGCATAGCGAATTTATAGGATTTGGCCCTAATCTCAGTAGTCTTTGTACACAGTCTGCATAGGCTACATTAATTTTCTAGAGGTCTGAAAATAATGACTGCATATTTAATTTCTATCCAGTAGAAACTGATAAGGGGTTTAAGAGATCCAATTTAGACATTTTCAAAGAGTAAAAAAGTAGTGAGGAAGATTATATTTAAACTGAAATATACTTCTTTTCATCTACTCCATAGTGCATGGCTTTTTGAGGCAACTTCTAACAACGATGATGTTTTAGATGCTTTCTATGGTGGCAAAGAGGTATTCTGCAGGGGAGAACAATAAATATAACTCTGGTGATTCACTGTACATCTAAAGTCAGGGAATACTTCAATGGAATTGTTCTCGTTTTGTTGGGATGACTAAAATGAAATAAAAGGACATAGTACCTGATAAAAGAGCAAGAGCTTTATAGACTTTGGTTAAGTACAGGAAAGGGTCTAATGAGAGAAGGGATATAAATTAGAGTTTTCTTCCTTCAGTTTCTCAACTAAATTTTATTAGTGAAGTTTTCTAAAAGATTTGGACCCTATTCCAATTCAAATATTACCAGAGTTCGGGCCTCCCAGGTGGCGCAGCGGTTGAGCGCTGGGTTGCGAAGCTGCCCGAGGCCTCTGCGGCGCCAGTTCCATCCCCGGCTGCTCCCGGCCACCGAAGTAGGGTCCCACATGGCGCGCAGACCTCTCCTGCCGCCCGCTGCTCCCCTCAGCAGTGTACTTCGGTCCTTCTGCCTGCTCTACTCCCGGCTCTGGCTCTGGTGAATTCTCTCGCCCTCCCGGCTTCTGACTGTACCCAGTGCATGTATAAACCAAACAAACAAACAAACAAACAAATAGATAAATAAGACATGCCTCTAGAAAATTAAAAAAAAAAAAAAAAAAACAAATATTACCAGAGTTCATCACAATTTAAAACTCTGTGCTGGTTTACACCCAATTACCCACACTTCCAGACCAAAATGAATCTATTCAAATATTTCCATGGTGCTGTTTTATACAATAACAAACTCTTGAAAGAGGAACTCCATTAGAAATACCCTCAGTGTCTGGCTGTGACCTGCATAGTGAATGATTCCTTAAAAGTTTAGGGTTGATGATGAACCCAGTGCAGAGGGATTCCACATTAAGTCACAATTGGCTTTGTGTTGGCCGAGTATGTCCATTGGTGAAATCAGGCTCAGGGGACAGTAAGAGTTTCTTGATATAACAACATAGCAACTGAACACCCATTTGTTACTCAGCACAATAGAACCTCGGGGAGGACTTTTCTAATCCTAGAAGAGAGGTGTGACTTTGCCACAATGTCCTTCTTTGAGAAAACATCTACCGCAGATCTGATGGAGAATCTCAGGGAAGAACTGACCTGTTTCATCTGCTTGGACTATTTCACCAACCCAGTGACCACTGAATGTGGGCATAACTTTTGTCTCGTGTGTCTCCTGAAGAGCTGGGAGGAACATAACACTCCTTTATCTTGTCCAGAGTGCTGGAGGACCTTGGAGACGCCACATTTCCAGCCCAATGAGCGTTTGGGGAGGCTGGCTGGCATCGGCAAGCAACTCAGACGCCAGGTGCTGCAGAGTGAGGGCGAGCTTAGGAGAATGCTGGCAACCGTTAAGCTGTTGTCTGATGATGAAAAGAGTGTGAAGGCTTTCTCAACTCAAGATCATGGAGGAAACAGAGTGTATCTGTCCAGTGAGGCTGGGGAACATCACAAAGTAAGATTGGCTGCACACTATCAACCTCAGCACAAATCACGTTCCATCAATTAACCTCCACAATATTCTGTATTACTGATGCTCTCGGTGCTGATGTCCAGGCACCAGACTACAAACTCCGTGTGTACCCTGCTTCACCCTTTGGTTTAGGGTCCCAGTCATCTGGTTGTTGCTGGTCTTCAGGGCCCCTGCATGACCTGGTGCTCTGTTCATTTGCCACAGTGAGTTTGTTTCTATTGCAGGAGAAACTCCAGGAAACCCTAAATCTTTTGCGTAAAAAGAAAAAGGAAACTCAGGTTATATTAAACCATGAAAAGGAGAGAGTGATACTGTGTACGGTAAGTATCTGTTGTCTATTTTTTTTAAAGATTTATTTGTTTACGCATACAAGAACAGGCCAGAGATGTGGAGGTGAGAGAACTCACCAGAGACAGAGTGGGGAGCAGAACAGGCAGACTGACTGAAATACACTGTTGAGGGAAGCAGCGGGCGAGTCAGGAGAGGTCTGCTGTGCCATGTGGGTTGCTCCCTGGCCAGGGATAGAACTCGTGCTGCAGTGGCTGTGGATAGCTTCATAGGTTGTGTCTTAACCCTGGGGCCACCAGGGAAGCCCTCTGTTGTCTATTTTTGTTTTTGTTTTGCAACTTGTATGTGATTCTATGAGGGCTGCCAAGCGAATTATCAGGGAATGAAGACTACTGTTTCCAGCCCAGTCCTACTATCCGCAGAGTTGTGGCTTTGGACTGTCTTCCTCTGTTTTCTACCTGGGAATCTCTAGACTCAGCTCATGGGATCCCCTGGTTGTTTTCCTGCTTGTCATACAACAGCATGGCTACCTCTATTATGGCTCTGACTATGATTTAAAATACAAGTTATATTCACAGACATACATTTATTGGCATAGGATGGCAATCAATAAAAATATCTCATGCTTCAGTGGGGAAAAAGGGAAACAAAGACATAACAGTTGCTTGATTTGATACACATGAAGAGATGTTCAAGGTTACTCACAGATGGGAACTTGATTTGTCTAGCTAAAACTAAATGTTTAATCAGACATTTAAAAAATGTCTTCATCTGATTATCCTAAAACATAGAGTTCTTAATAAGAATATTTGTGGCGTACCTGTCTATCCCTAGTGTTATCCAGTGCCAACTTTTGCTAAATAAACAAAGATACTCATATTTTTTGTGCACATATTATTTTGCTTTATTTTTCTTCGTAGCACAGGTCAGCACCTGTCAGTGTATATATACATATATATATATATACTTTTTTTTTTAGTTTCTTCATATTGTCATTCACTAGAAAGACAGTTTCTGGATCTATTTACTATTACATTTAAAACATCAAACAATCGACCTAGTTAGTTAATAGAATATATGTCATGTGTCAGGTTTCAAGAGTTGTCATGATGGAACTCTAGGACTTTGTAAGAATTAAAAATTTGCATAGGTGTTTCTGTTACTAACTTTGTCCTGTTGTGTGCATGTGTGTGTGTGTACACACATATATGTGTGATGGCAGGAAGAGACAAAGACTTGTAAACAGGCTGTTGTGTCAGAATACATAAAAATGCACCAGTTCCTAAAGGAGGAGGAGCAGATACAGCTCCGGCTACTGGAAAAAGAGGAAAGAGAAAACTTGAAGAAACTGAGGGACAATGAGCTTAAGTTGACCCAGCAAATAAGAAGCCTAACCAAGCTGATTGAACAGATAGAGTCCACATGTCAGAACGCAATTGTAGAATCCTTAGAGGTAAGAGTAGTGGGGAGATTCATGGAAATAGAACATAAAGTAACTGATAAGATTCAAGTCATATGAGATAAATTTTTCTTTATATATCTACAAAAACTAAATTCTGGCCTCAAAATAGTTTTTCTAAATAATGAACATTCTGTAGTATAAGGAAAGTCTTGAAGAGGAGGTGAAAAAAACCCGGGGGAATGCCTACCTCCACCAAGCTTGATGAACCCCAGTTTCTGCTGCTCCTTCCTTTCTGCAATCTCAGCTTTTCCAATTACAAGTTTAGGGAGCATTCAGTGTGCTGGGCCCATAAAATTTAATCTTCACAAAAACCCGATGAGTTTAAATACTGTTACGACATGTGTTACAGGTGACTGTTATCTACAAAATGGGTTTATATTTAACACTTCTATTCTTTTCCTAACTACGCAGTTAGGAAATTTGCCTATCAGATAGCGAGCAGGTGGTAGCACCCAGGTATTCTGTGCATGGAGCCCATATTCCTCATGATCTTTGCTCCCTGCCTTTCTACTGCCTTTCCCAGACCATCTGAAACATAAGTTATGCGAGCCAATGCCAACCACGAGTCTCTTTCCTGGATTGCCTCCACAAAATGCTATTGAGTGTAGTGCCTTCCAAACAACCCACTCCAACCAGACACAGGTTGCACATCCTTTCTCCCTAGGCCTCTTTCCTCTGCTTATTTATCTCTGATTCCCACAGCCCTGGATAATCAGAACAGTATTTGGCTCTTTTGTCAGCAACAAGTGCTCTTGACAGAGTGATGATATGAGAAAAAGACAAAGTAGAATCCAGTAGAATCCAGTCATTGTGACAAAAACCCCATGTTTACAAGAGCCCACTCCTAGATGGAGTTGGGGAATTTTTTTAAAGATTTATTTTATTTATTTATGCATACAAGAGCTGGGGTGTAGGCCAGAGATGCGGGGGTTGGTGAAAGTATTCACCGAGATAGAGTGAGGAACAGAACAGGTGGATCTACTGAAATACACTCCTGAGGGGAGCAGCAGGTGAGACAGGAGAGGTCTGCTGTGCCGTGTGGATTGGCTCCCTGGCCAGGATTGAACTTGTGCTGCAGTGGCTGCAGATAGCTTCATAGTGCTGAGACTTAACCCCTTGTGCCACCAGGGAGGCCCTGACTTGTGGATTTTCCCCCTAGATTTGTTCCCTCATTCAAGGTGCTCTAAAGCCACAGGAGGTAGATTTTATGAAATTTGCAAAGAATTTTACCCAAAATGGAGTCAGTCTTTGCTCATGGGAAAAACACAAATACTAATGTTCTTTCTTTTACACCCTTAGGATGTGCGAGGAACCCTGGAAAGGTAGGTTTTCACTCTGTGTCCAGTTCTGCAAGACTCGGGGATGTGGTGCTGATGAAACTGGTTATCAGATGGGAATGAGAGTGTCCACGTTGTTAGGGAAAATGAGCAGGACCCTGGCGTCGGAGCAGGTTATGCTGTCGGTGTGGAGGAGACAGTGACTGTTTTTGCTTTTCTCAGGAGTGAACCACTCTTGCTTCAGTGTCCAGAGGCCACCATCACAAGACTGAGTCTGTGCCGCATCACTGGAATGAGGGAGATGCTAAGAAAATTTAGCAGTAAGTCAGCCCCATTTGTCACAGCCTCAGGGATTTCCAGCATTTACGCAACTCTACGTCAGGGGATGCAAAACTCTGTGCTTAGGCAGGTTTTCACAATAAGAATATTCACCATTCAGGTGTCAGGCTCTTGTTGAAGGTATTCTGAGCCAGCACTGAACACCAGGGACGGCTCGGGCACAGTCCATCCCTCCGCTGGAAGCAGAAGGAAGCAGTGGGGTGACTCATGTTTGATCTGGCATTGTTTTCTGTCTAAAGAATCCTGGTCTTTCTTTTTTTTTATTTATATATATTCTACATCATTGTTCATTGATTAACAATGTTTGCTTGCTTTTCTCGGGAGTGGTCCCCAAGGAATTTCCACCACCAAATCACCTGTGCACCATCACACAGTCCCCTGGGCTCTTACCTCCTCATTCCAATCCCTCTCCCTCCTCCTCCCCTGCAGAATGTTTCTGGTTTATAGTTGTCTGTTTATTTTTATTTTGAGTCCTGGTCTTTCATATGTGATTGTATTGTTCTGCATTATTTATTTTATTCTCTCTCTCTCTCTCTCTCTCACACACACACACACACACACACACGCACACACACACACACCCATCCTGCAGGGGTTTCTGCTTTTCTACCTCTGTTCTTGTCAAGATAAAAATTGACTTGAACTTTTTTTTTCTTTTTAAAGATTTATTTATTTATTTATTTGTACAAGCACTGGGTACAGTCAGAAGCGCGGGAGGGTGAGAGAATTCACCAGAGCCAGAGCGGGGAACAGAACAGGCAGACCGACGAAATACACTGCTGAGGGGAGCAGCAGGCGGCAGGAGAGGTCTGTGCGCCATGTGGGACCCTCCTCCGGTGGCCTGGGAGCACTGCAGAGGCTGCGGGCAGCTTCGCAACCCAGCGCTCAACCGCTGCGCCACCGGGGAGGCCCCTGACTTGAACTCTAAAACCCTAGTGAGAGAACTCAAAGAACTACCCTTTTGAATGAGAGGTCAGCTTTAGTTCTCAACTTCTATCCTGTTGGCAGTCAAGTGTTCAGAAGAAGGTCTAATGGACTTTGGATTCAATAGATACTTGGTAAGTGGCTGTTAGGTGTGAGGTGCTATGTTATTAGGCCCTGTGCATATTTACAATGATGACAGACAATGTCTTTGCTTTTGTGGAACTTTTCAACAAATTCAAGAGACAGACATTATTCACACAGATAATTAATTATGATAGGGAATTGGTCTTTTTTAAAAAGCATTAAATTATATGATAGGGACGTATCATCTCACGTGGAGAGTAAATGAAAGTTGGCAGCTTCCTCAGTGATGTCCTCTTAGGAGGATGAGAGAGGAGGGTCTCACTAGCTCACAACGTGCTACCTCAAGTGTCATCAGTGGCTGCATTAGCCATGACATCATGAAAAATACTCAAACACTCAGTAATTCTGATATCTTAGTCATCTTCTGACATCTGACCACAGCTTTCTTTTTATAAAAATGAAAAAAAAAAACAAAACAAAAATGCTTGACATGATTAAATGTGATAATGTACAGAAAATGCTTGATACCAAAGTATTTCAGTAAATAGTAACTGCCTACATTTCTCTCCCACCCAAGCTGAAGAACCAGAACCAATCTTGGCTAAAGTGAATGTAAACAGCAAAGGCTACTCCCTGTGTGGATAAATAGCTGAGTTCTAAATTTTCTTGTAAACAGAACAATTTCCATTATCTGAGATTCCCCTCCCTCCTCTCCAGGCTCAAGCTCACTGCCCACACACACAACTCTCTTCTGTTGCTTTTTTTCTAATGCGTCTTTTTTTTTTTTTTTTCCTGTCTTTTTGTGTAGAAGAACTGGGGTGTAGGCCAGAGGTACAGGGGGTTAGAGGATTCACCAGAGACAGAGCAGGTAACAGAAAAGGCAGATTGACTAAAAATACACTGCTGAGGGGAGCAGCAGGTGAGACAGGAGAGGTCTGCTGTGCCATGTGGGTCACCTCCCTGGAGGGGGATTGAACTCAGGCTACAGTGGTGACAGTGTGGAGACTTAACCCCTAGGCCACCATGGAGGCCTCTTCTCTTTCCTTTTAGAAGTTCACTCTCTGGGTTATATCCTTTCTTCAATTTTGTGTATGTTTGCATTACTTTTACAAAAAAAAAAAAAAACTTTCTTTTTTTTTCCCTAAATACCAAACATTTAGAATTAAAAAAATAAGTGCTAGTCTTAAAAAAAAAAGTTCACTCTGGCAAAACAATGACAGAAGTACTAGGGATTCTGCTGTAAACAAAGCAAAAATCCCACCCTACTCAAATTATATTATAAAAAAATCAAACTGAATACTAAAGCTCTATCCTTCATATATATGAGGGTTTTTGAGAATGCAAAGGAGAATTCACCCTTGTCTCCTCTTGCAGCGGACATAAGTCTGGATCCAGCCACAGCCAACGCCTACCTGGTCTTGTCTGAGGATCTGAGGAGTGTGAGACACGGCGGAATCCAACAGCAGCTACCTGACAACCCAGAAAGATTTGACCAGTCTGCAACGGTGTTGGGGGCTCAGACCTTCACCTGCGGGAGACACTACTGGGAGGTGGACGTGGGAAACAAGACTGAGTGGGAAGTAGGCATATGCAAGGACTCGCTGAGCAGGAAGGGGAATCTCCCAAAGCCGCCCGGGGCCCTCTTCTCACTTATTGGCTTAAAAATTGGAGATGATTACAGTCTCTGGATCTCATCACCTTTAAAAGGTCAACATGTCCGAGAGCCTGTGCACAAGGTTGGTGTTTTCTTAGACTATGAATCTGGACACATAGCCTTCTACAATGTGACAGAGGAGTCTCTCATCTACAGCTTCCCTCCCACCTCATTCCAAGAGGCTCTGAGGCCTATCTTTTCCCCTTGCCTCCCAAATGAAGGGACCAACACAGGCCCTCTCACCATCTGCTCGCTGAACAGCCTTGCCTGAGGAAAATGCCCCCGAGCCTTCGTTGAGGCGGAGGTCTAAGACCAATAGATGACTATTAATTAAGATGATGGAATGCATTGACAGTATTAACATCAGGTGATCTGAAAGAAAACTCTCCCCAAGAGCTTCCAGTAATTTGAGCCTGCAGTGAACAGCCAAATCAATCAACTTTCAACATCAATAGGAGAAAAATGATCATATTCAGTGTCTTTAACTAAATCCATTTCCTAGACTGCCCAATATATGTGCTGGTCACTAAACACAGAGAGCTAGCACTAGCCCCTATTATTCCCAACCCCTCCATCATAAGTCAGTGTTATAAATATATATGTCATTTTTTCCTAAGTGTATTTATTTGACTCTCAAAAAACTCTGCTGAGTGTGTCTTTGTCCTATGTGCAGAGTTGGGCTTGCTGGACAGTCCAAACCTTTCTGGGGGCCAAAGGCATGGGTTTTCCTTTGCAGGGTTGGTGAGAAGGTCTCAAGATTACCTTTCTCTGAAAAGTTGCTTTTCTTCCCTTCCCATAGTGTTTAAAGTATTTGTAATCAGGAAGGGTCTTGTGTTCAGAATGCTGCAAATATTTGTGTGAATGTCATCATGTGATTTGTTACTGTAATCACAAGGAGCTGGGACCTTTAGTAGTTTCATATGTTTAAAGATGACAAAACAAAGTCTCTGTTGAATAAATGTATCAAGGCTATGGGTGCCAAGTGATTTGACTGGGTTTCACATAATATTATTCTCTGCGCTTTTGCTATTTACTATGAGCAGAAGGACTTCAGTCCCTGAAAGGATCATTAAATTTACTTGCTATGTCAACAGTCAGGGTTTGTGAGGAAGGGGTGGTGACCGAGTGGAGCCGCTCTTGGTTGACCTCAGATCACCTTTTGTTAGAGGTCTTCTCTCATGTTCCACGTTTTTAGTACTCTGTCCTTGCAGGCTTTTTTAAAAAAAAAAATTCTTTCTGCTTACATTGCATAATGTCACCAATCACAGAGGTTAGCAGTACACCCTCAGATAAGTCAGTGCTAGTCAAGAGAACGGGCAGAACTTAACCCACACATGACTGCACCTTTATTAAGTTTACCCACTTCTCTGTCCTTGGCCACAATAACATAATTAATGTAAATAGACTAGAGTGAACATAGGAGTTTATACTATCTGTAGTATATAATATACACAGGCGTATCTAATATCCCTTTGAATTGTTTTTTTAGTATTCTTCGCATAGGTACCTGAGAGTGGAATTGTTGGGTCATATGGTAGGGCCATTGTTAACATTTTGAGGAACCTCCATATCGTTTTCCACAGGGACTGGAACAGTTTACATTCCTACTGGTGTATGAGTTTTCCTTTTTCTCCACATCCTCACCAACACTTGTTGTTTCTGATCTTTTTCCTATGAGTCATTCTCAAGGGTGTGAGAATGTATCTCAATGTGCTTTTGATGATATGATAATTAACGATGATAAATATTTTTTTAATAAGATTTATTTATTTATTTATTCATTCATTCATTCATTCAAGCACTGGGTACAGTCAGAAGTGCGGGAGGGCGAGAGGATTCACCAGAGCCAGAGCGGGGAACAGAACAGGCAGACCGACGAAATACACTGTTGAGGGGAGCAGTGGGAGCAACAGGAAGAGGTCTGCACTCCATGTGGGACCCTCACCGGTGGCCGGGGATCGAACTGGCGCTGTAGAGGCTGAGGGCAGCTTCACAGCTCAGCACTCAACCACTGCGCCACCAGGGGAAGCCCGATAAATATTTTTTTCATGTGCCTATTAGAAGTGCATAAAAAAAAAAATGTGACACACCCAATGGAATACTACTCAGCTATAGAAAATGATGAACTCTTGTCATTTAGGACTACATGGATGGGACTGGAGAGGATAATGCTAAGCAAAATAAGTTAGAAGCAGAAAGACAAATATTTGAAATAGTCTTGCCTATCTGTGGAATACAGAAAAACAAAGCCAAGGATCAGTCAAAACCAAACCAATAATAAACTCTCTGACTGCAAAACTGAGGCAACCAGAAGAGGGGAGAGGTACCAGAGTAGGAATGGAGGAGCGAGGGAGCCAAATGGAACATGGTGGAAGATGATTAGGACACTGGCCATGGGCACGTATGAACACTTTTAAACCTATAGCCCCCAAAACAGATACAGCAACGTAACCAACTTTACCTCAATAAACATAATTTGAAAAAAAAAAGGTTTTTCAACTATTATTTTCTGTAAATTGGAAACAAAATTGAGGAAAATTGGTAATTGAACTTATTCATTAGCATCCGAAACCACAGAAGGTCAGTAAATTCTCTGTGTTCCTCATTAGTGTTTTTCTCCCCAACACCACACACTTAGTATCAGAGAGAGGGAAACCAAGCTCTTTCTCCTTAGATGATTTGTGGTTGTTTCCAAATTTTTATCTCTCAAAGTTTTCTTGATTTAGCACCTCAAAAAAGATAAGTAAAGGGCCTCCCCGGTGGCGCAGTGGTTGAGCGCTGGGTTGCGAAGCTGCCCGCGGCCTCTGCAGCGCCGGTTTGATCCCCGGCTGCTCCCCGGCCACCAGAGGAGGGTCCCACATGGCGCGCAGACCTCTCCTGCCGCCCGCTGCTCCCCTCAGCAGTGTACTTCGGTCCTTCTGCCTGCTCTGCTCCCCGCTCTGGCTCTGGTGAATTGTCTCACCCTCCCGCGCTTCTGACTGTACCCAGTGCATGTATAAACAAAACAAACAAACAAACAAATAAATAAAACATGCCTCTATTTAAAAAAAAAAATTAAAAAAAAAAAAGATAAGTAAAAAATCATGAAAGCAAACATCAAAATTACTTGGGATACATATTTCTCAATTACAAAAAGTTTTTTATGGTAAATGAATATAAAAGTAGTGCACTCTGGTTAGTGTGTGTGATGTTTATTTGTTGTATAAACTAGATCCTACTTTGCTTTCCTATCCTCCTTTATAACAAGGGGGCTGATATTGTAAAAGCCAAACAAAAAACCCTATTTTTTTATCTGGCAAAATCATCCCAAGGGGATCTTTGTTGCACCATTTTCTACTAGACCCGCCACTGATTGATTACATGGGGAAAACTGAATCCTCACTACTCATTGTTCTGGATTTGCACAACCATGAAAGAGTTGCAAGAAAAATTTCAACAAAAGTTTCTATGTATAAACTCCAAGTCAAACAGATATGGGGTTGAAAACAGAAATGAGAGCAGTGAGCATGGCAATTTGAGGGGTGTGCCCTTTCACTTTAAAGTTGCACCCTCTTGCACTCTGCAAGGGCCTCAGTCTCACCATCTTGTCCCCTGAACATTCAACAAAGACATTTCTTGAATATGTAAGTGTCCCACATGGTACCTGCCAACATCATTCAAGATCTCCCTTCTTCCCTTTAGCCTCTCTCCTCCCCAAATCTCTATTTGCCACTCTTTCTTGAGCAATTTCCCCAAGGGAAAGCAAGTCACAAGTAGCCTCTTGTTCAGTGGAGAATAAGAAAATGGTTTCCAGAACTGCAATGGTTTTCTTCTGTACTGCTCCACAATTGGCTAGAGGGGAGGGCACATGTCTAGTCCAGGGGTGGGGGGGATATCAGGAGTGACCAACTACCCAGACTGCAATTGGATTACTTGTTTTTTAAATTTTTCTTTGTTTTCAAGTAGCTTAAAAATAAAATATATGTATCTTCCCTTGAAACTGATTTACTTATTAAATCCCATTAACTTCAGATGAGGTCATTATCTAGTGTCCTTCTCTCATTACTCCCTCTCCCCATGTCCTATAACTGATCTACTATAATTCAAGGAATTGTTTTTTTTTTGTTTTTTGTTTTTTGGGTTTTTTTTTTTAAAGATTTATTTATTTATACAAGAACTAGAGTACAGGCCAGATTCGCGGGAGGGTGAGAGGACTCACCAGAGATAGAGCGGGGAACAGAACAGGCAGACTGATGAAATACACTGCTGAGGGGAGCAGTGGGCGAGACAGGAGAGGTCTGCCGCGCCATGTGGGATTCTCCCCAGCCGGCCAGGATCGAACCCGTGCTGCAGAGGCTGCGGACAGTTTCACAGTGCCGCGCTCAACCGCCTGCGCCACCAGGAGAGGTCCCAAGGAATTGGTGTTTTATCTTACTTTGAATTACCTTAGAAATCCCTCTTATTAACTAGTGGAATTCAAGAATGTGCCCAGTCTGGAATTTCTCCCTTTACACGTTCCTTAGAGAGTTAGGGACAAGACCAATAATAGTAAGTCATAATAGAAAATGGAAGAATGCTAAAATATGCAAAGGATAAAATAAAAATTGCATTCCATCTCACTACTCCAGAGATAACAGTACTTACATTTTGGTGTGTATCTTTCTAATTATTTTGTCTTATGTATTTATTTATTTATGCACACAAAAACTGGGGTACAGGCCAGAGGTGTGGGGAGGTGAGAAGATTCACCAGAGACAGAGTGGGGAACAGAACAGTCGGATCGACTGAGGTACACTGCTGAGGGGAGCAGCGGGCGAGTCAGGAGAGGTCTGCTGCACCATGTGGGTCGCTCCCTGGCAGGCCGGGGATCGAACTTGTGCCACAGTGGTTGTGAACAGCTTCACAGGTTGTGTCTTAACCCCTTGCACCACCAGGGAGGCCTTCTTATGTATATTTTAAGCACAATGAACATTACCTAAATATTACACTGTGAACTTCATTCTTCAGATATTCCTTACAAAGGCTTTTCCCTTCCCTAAATATATAAGCATGTATCTTCTAAGAATTATCACATTTTGTGGAATTACATCTATCACTTCCAAAATTTATATTTAATAAATGATACTACTGAATATTATCTAATAGATAAGTCATATTAAAAATTTTCCAGTTAACCTTGGAATGTTCTTTATAACTATGTTTTTAGTCTTTCAGCTTCGAGGAATAATATAGAAACATGCATTAGAAGTAATTGTCTTGGAAGATATGATTTTTAATGGGACTAATATCTCATGATATGCATATCCCTAATTTATAGAATCATTCTCCTACGTTGGGTTATTTGGATTGTTTTCCATTTGGAGATACTATAAATGAACTTGTGACAAATGCAGATGTCCATACACTTTTGGGTGTAGCTCTGACTCTTCCCCATGGTTTCTCTTACAAGAAGGGAAGCTGACTTGGCGCCTGCAGGAGGTACATGCAGGTTTCATGGGCACTGCAGGGAGTCTGAAAAGGTTTCCTCACTGCCACTTCCACACTGAAGATGGAGCACAATGGTTTTGAGATAAGTGAGAGAACATGTTTCTTCTTCCCTATAGTCTTGCCAGAAGCACTGCATTTATTTAAAAAACAAAACCAAAATCCCTATCCTGGGAGGAATTGGGAGTAGATCGAGGGCTTTGAAACAAAAGTGTCCTTTGTTTGAACACTTAAATCCATCACAGAGTAACTGTAGAAAGTTACACAAATGATGTTATCTCTTAGAGTTTTAGTTTCCTTTTCTCCAAAATTTAGGAACTGCTCACTTATTTTGATGATTATATGAACAATCCATGGTGCAGGATGAAATGCTGCACCCTTTGTTCCACACAGGAGACTCCTTTGTAATTTGTCACAAAAGAAACAAAAAAGTCATAGAATGCTTATGTGAAATGTGGAAAACACAGGTGCCACAATCTATGAAATATTTTCTTTTTTGGG